TGCTTTCCCAGGGGACCTGGGTTCAACTCCCAGCAGCTGTTCATAACTCCAGTTCCTGGAGACCTGACACCCTCACACAAATATGCATATAAAATAAAAACAATTAAAAAAAAACCCCTTGATTTAATTGCTAAACTGGCAGTCGATGCTACTTGTTTACTGAGTTTAGCTACCGCTGTTCATTGAAATCCCACACATATAACTGTAACACAGCCTGCAGTAGACAAATTTCTCACAGTTACCTAGGACTTTTAAAAGTGCATGTTCTATCCAGGCCTTGCCTCCTATCCTGTAAGCTTAGCTACTCAGGAGGCCGAAATAAGAGCATCACCAGTTAAAGGCAATGTGGTTGAGAAGTTGGTGTCGTTTTGTTCAAGGTCAAGGACATAACTCAGTGGTAGGGCACTGAGGGGTAGGTCTGAGGGTCAACCTATAGTAAAAATAAAAATTAAGGAGTGTCGCAGTGAGGGGATGCAGCACTGCTGCTATCTGTGGTGCTCCACTGGTCAAACCAGTAAGTAGCCCTGTTAGAGCCTACTGTACCCCACCTTCTGTTAAAAGAGAGAAATAATTTATTTTAAAGTACTGCAACATTTATCTTCCTAAGTTTATGACACAGTTCAGAAACTTGGGAGCGCAGAAGCATGTTCTGAATCTGACTGCATAGAATATCATCTAGTGTGAGCACATCTACGGGAAACCAATGTATGAAGGCCACAATCGTGTGAATCACAGCAAGACCTATCAATTCCAACACGACTGGGCCACAGAGGCAACGCCTTTAATCCCAGCACTCCCAGCAGGCGGACCTCTGAGCTCCAGGCCCTCTTACCCCCACCAAAAAAAATATGTATTTTATGACTTCTACTTTTACTTTTCTTTTGGCGCAGGAAAAGCACTCAATTTAAAGAAAAGTAAGTAGACTTTTTTTTTTTTTTTTAAATCTCTAGCCACTTGGTTTCCTTTATTCTTTTGTCTTTTTTTTAAATTCCCTAGTGCTGGGATTGTCTCACCATCACTTGGCTGGTGTGTGTGTGGGGGACTTACTAAGCCACTTTATTTACTTTTGTCTTCATTACCATTTTTTCTCCCTAAGAACTAGTGTACTAGGGCTGGAGAGATGGCTCAGTGGCTAAGAGCACTGATTACTCTCCCAGAGGACCCGGGTTCAATTCCCAGTATCTACATGGCAGCTAACAATTGCTATAACTCCTGACACCCCCACACAGACATACATGCAAGCAAAACCAAAATGCATCTTAAAAAAAAAAAAGACTAGTGTACTTCCTATTATTGAACCAGTTAGTTTTGCAATTATACTTCTCTCTTTGAGCCTCAATTTATATGGCTTTTATCATAAATTCTCTTTACATCATTGCTTGGTTTTTGTCCCTTATCTTGCAATTTCTTATTTTTAGAAGTAGGTAGGATATAATCTTGAGTTCTCCCTCCATTCCTTTTGAATGAGTATTATTTTTATATTTTTATATGTTACACATAAAAATCATAAAGTAATACAATGCTTAAAAACTCCCATCTCACTACATAGAATGGAAGTCAAATGGACATAAGTACCAAGAAGCCCGTGTCAAAGGTGAACTGGGACTGAAAACAAGCAAAGAAATAAACTGTGGTCAAAAATACAAGGAATCTTGTCAACATATTTTATGCCAAAATCAGTTCTAAGGGAGCAAAATGTTCTGTAAATTTTAACAGTAACAGTAAATTTAGGCACTGATGTTAACTAAAAATACATATTATGAACAGTCAGCTTCTCTCCTGTAACTCAGTATGTTTTCTAAAGCAATAAAATAATTCAGCTTTGTCTCAAAACTGAAATTCAACGTATTATAAGAGTAATGTGAATATTATTGATTTTTATGATGTTTTATTTGTTTTTTGACACAGGGTCTTGTACAGCTCAGGCTAGCCTGGAACTAGCAGCAATCCTCATGCCTTAGCTTTTGAGTGCTGGGATTACAGGTATGCAGCAACTACACTTCTGTGATCTTGAAAGTAAATGTCTTTTTTTCCAATATTTTCAGTGTTGATCATTTCCAGTGACTGTCTGCCATATAATGTCTCTATAAAAACAGAAGCCAGAAAATAAAACAATCATTTATAAACAATCTTCTTTATAAATAAAGCAGTAAAAATAAATATGAAAAATAAAGATGCCCAAATTGGCATGGCTTCTGGAAGTCTCAGGCAGAGTGAGAATGTGGGTTGAACTTTAGTTCTAGGATCATCCTAACAGATTATACTGTAACTTTACCAACAACCACAGAAACTTGATTAAGAACATTACTGAGGGCTGGAGAGATGGCTCAGCAGTTAAGAGCATTGCCTGCTCTTCCAAAGGTCCTGAGTTCAATTCCCAGCAACCATATGGTGGCTCACAACCATCTGATATGAGATCCGATGCCCTCTTCCGGCCTGCAGGCAGACACACAGACAGAATATTGTATACATAATAAATAAATATTAAAAAAAAGAACATTACTGACAAAAACAAAACACAGTGGGGCTGGAAGATGGCTCAGCAGTTAAGAGCATGCCCCTGTAATCCTGGCACTCCTGTGGCACATCTGGAAGCAGACAGGAGAATCCCTGGGAGCTTGCAGACCAGTGCAATGAGATGCTGTCTCAAACACGGTAGGAAGCAAAGACCAACGAGCTTGTCCTCTGACCACCCCATGAGAACTATGGGTCACATACAACCACATTCACCCACATACACAAATGTGCACACATGCATCACACAGGAAAGACACTGGCAGAATGATTTTCATGTGTGTGTCTGTGTGTAGAGGCCTGATCACATCTCAGAGTGTCATTCCCCAGCTGTACACCCTGGTCTTTTAAGACAGCCTCACTGGCTTGAAGCCCAGGTTCAGCTGTGCTGGCTGCTTCGTGAGACCCAGTGATCTGTCTCAGGTTTATTTCATGTAGGTCCCAAGGATAAAACTCGTATCTTCATGCCGGCACGGCAAGCATTTTATTGAATGAAATATCTCTCCAGCCCCTGATGAAATGATCTCTAAGTTTTTCTCTAACAATATAGATATGTAATAATTTTATTTAAAATGTTAAGCCTGTATTCTAAAAATAAACAAAACCAGGTGTTAAATTAGGTCATGTGAGCATTTAACTTTATATTTTAACATAATAAACACCTAAACTTACTTGGTATCAAATTGATTTTTCAAAGTATAGCAATAGATAATGTAAATTTCTAGTATTTATTCTTCCCCAAAAAAGTACTTTCTTGTTTTGTTTTGGTTTTTTGAGACAGGGCTTCTCTGAACAGTCTTGGCTGTCCTGAAACTCACTTTGTAGACCAGGCTGACCTCGAACTCACTGAGATCCGCCTGACTCTGCTTCCTAAATGTTGGTATTAAAGGCATTTGCCACCACCACCCTGCTCCAAAATGAGTTTTTAAAGTAAACTATATTATCAGCTTATGTTGTATGAGCTGTGTCCACAACATGATAAAACAAGGAAATGACATTAAAAACACTGGAAATGAGTGTGATATACCTATGATGTCTTCATGAAAGGTGGTGGTGCATGCCTTTAATTCCAGTACTTGGGAGGCAGAAGCAGATGGATCTCTGTGAGCTTGAGGCCAGCATAGTCTACAAAAGTGAGTTCCAGGATAGCCAGAGCTATTACAGAGAAACCCTGTCTCAAAATACAAAAAGCACACAAAAATCATCATGAAACCCATTATTATGTACACTGAATATACCAATTTGGGGGACTGGAAACATGTTTCAGCAGTTAAGAGTACTTGCTGCTCTTACAGGGGACTTAAGTTCAGTTTCCAGCACCTCCATGGTATTTCAGAACTGCCTGTAAGAGTTCCTGGGGATCCAACATTCTCTCCTGAGCTTTACAGACATGGTACACAGATACGGACGCAGGCAAAACACTCATAAATCTTGAAAATATTTCTGTGTGCATACAAATCTATTTGTGTTAGCTTTTCATCACTATAATAGCTGAGATAAAAGGTTTATTTTGGCTCAGTTTTAGAGGTTGTAGCCCATGCTCAGACAAACTCAGTGCTTCCAGGGCTCTAGTGGGTTTGCCAGATGGCGACAGCTGATGTACACATGACAAGACTAAACTGTTCACCTCAAAACCAGGAAGCAAGAGAAAAAACAGACCTGGGGTCCCACAATCCTCTCTGAAATATACCCTCAATGATCTAAAGATTTCCTATTAGGCCCCACTTCTTGGTTTCTACTACCTTCCAATAATACCTCCCTGGAAGCAAACTTTTAGCCACATTAATCTTTGATGGCTACTTAAAAGTCATACTATCAATATTCATGTATGTACATCAATTACCAGAAAGGGTAATCATATTGATGACATGAAATAAAAGAAAATCTGTATCTTTTTAATTGATCATACAATCTAACTATAAAATGAAATCCAAATGCCAGGTAGACTTGTTTGTCCAAACTAACTGGAGACAGTAAGTAGAGAAAAAAAGACTGGATTCTCCCTCAGTGACAGGGTTTCTTTATATAGCCCTGGGTATCCTGGAATTCACTCTGTAGACTAGGTTGGCTTCATACAGAGATCCACCTGCCTCTGCCTCCCAAGTACTGGGATTAAAGGCATGTGCACCACGGCTCAGCATTAGGGAACATTTTTGGCTCTTGCAGAGGGCTGGGGTCTGGTTCCCAGCACCTTCATGGTGGCTCAGTATCATTTGTAACTTCAATTTCAGGGGATCCACCAACCTACTCTGGCTTTTGTATGCATCAGCATATACAGTGAACACACACACACACACACACACACACAGGAAACACCCATACAAATAAAAATAAATTAAAAAGGAAAGTGGAAGAGAAAATTGACTCCCCAATTTGTCCGCTTACTACAAGTACACCATGGTATACGCACACAGAAAAAAAATTTTTTTTCCAGAAGAGTCTTCTATTTCCCAGTCATATCAAATAATTCTGATTGACTCATGGCATGAGTGAATGTATCTATATTTTAAAGGATATGTGTTTCTATTTAAAGAGTATCAAAAACTTATATGTACTACAATGAATATCACATGGCGAGTCTAACTATATGCTGAGATTAGTTTTGGGTCAGCACTCTTCCTCTCGTTCTCGTGACCGTTTCCGGAAATTCAAAGACCCTCCTGCCTGTGACGAAGGAGCAGTGATGACAGCATCTCTAAATCCCTGAGGCTGCAAGATGAAGAATACACAAATACACTTAATGAACATTTAAAGCAAAAATTAATTTTCCAAATAGTTTTTAAATAACACTGGATAAGGATGTTCTCTAAGACTCTAATAGTGATGAGGCCCAACACCCTTTTGCCCAAGTTAACAACAAAAAAGTTCTCTAAAAAGAATCCTGGGCTGGAGAGATGGCTCAGTGGTTAAGAGCACTGCCTGCTCTTCCTAAAGGTCCTGAGTTCAATTCCCAGCAACCACATGGTGGCTCAGAGCCATCTGTAATGGGGTCTGGTGCCCTCTTCTGGCCTGCAGACATACACACAGACAGAATATTGTATACATAATAAATAAATATTAAAAAAAAAAGAATCCTAATAAGCCTTATGGTACCTGCTGGGAGAAGTGGGAAGTAGTCTGATCTATTTATCTGCTTTACAAATCATCTTCACAATAAAATATTCTGTCTGTCATGTGGTATGCACCTGTAATACTAAGCCCTCAGGCAGCTGAGGCAGGAGGATCAAAAGTTCAAAGTCAGCCTGGACTGTATATATAACCAGACCTCTTCTCAAAAAGACAAAACAATTAACGGCAGGTTAGTCTAAACAAGGGTAGTGTAAAAACTAAGTGGAGAATTCATTCTCAGAATTGCTTTCCATTTTTCTCTTTATCATTACAAAAATAAGATGGCTGCTTAGTGTGGTGGCTCACACTTTTAATTCTAGCACTTGGGAGGCAGAGGTAGGCAAATTCCTGAGTGTGAGGTCAGCCTGGTCTATAGAGTTAGTTTCAGGACAGCCAAGACTCAGTGGTTAAGGGCACTTGTTCTTGAGAAAGACCCAGGTGGAGGCTCACCCTCCTTGAACACCAAGCACACAAATGGTATATAAATTTAAAAATATATTGAATAATGAAGCTCAAGGTCACGATTAGCTTTGTAGTGAGTTTGAGGGCGACTTGGGCCTGGCATCTAGTGATGTAAGAGATTGACATGATAAGTGTGACAGCTACTACAGCCCAAAATTACCTTTCTTGTTGTTGCTGATGTTTCTGAAACAGGACAATACACTAATTAGGCTAGTCTTGAACTACTGATCCCCATCTACCTCGATCTCCTAAGTGTAGGCCATCGTGTCCAGTTGTATCTTTTCCTTTCTGAAAACTTTTAACATAAAAATCTGTAGATTTTACAGATGCCATTAAACATAAATATTTCCTCTGTTCTCAAAGATAAATTTTTTTCTTTTTCTTTTCTGGTTTTTTGAGACAGGATTTTTCTGTGTAGTCCTGGCTGTCCTGGAACTAGCTCTGTGGACCAGGCTGGCCTGAAACTCACAGAGATCTGCCTGCCTCTGCCTCCTGAGTGCTGGGATTAAAGGCATGTGCCACCACCGCCCAACTGTAACTACAGTATTCTGTAAGTACTGTTTTGGTGATGCTCTCCCATCAAAATTGTCTTCAAACATGCTTGCTGCTTATAAGATTAACAGAAACCATTTGTACATGACCCCTTCAGATATTTACTGCCCACCAACACCAAAATCCCACTCTGATTAAATAATACTAACTGTGATCTGAAATGGTACTGTGGACTCCTTCTGGCTTGGTGACTTGTACAATGTTGCAAATCTGTTTGAAGAAAAAAATACATATAAACATTACTTTAATAATTAGGTTGCATGGCTGATTTCACAATTTAAATGTGCAGAGTCTTATCAAATGTTCTTGAGAACATAATTGTAAAGAAATATTTAAAAACAGAAAACCTTCCCTCATAGGTTACCATGTGGATAACCTTTAGTTTCAAGTAGGCAGAGGTAGGATTTTTTTGAGTCCATGAGTTCAAGGCCAGTCTGTGTCTTAAAACAAACAAAATTCTTCTTTAAAAAAAATTCCATGTAAGCATGCGATAACTAATACATCCAATAAGGTTATTTGTATACATAAAAATTTAATGACAGATTTAAATAAATTACTTGATATGCAATGCTACTTATGCTAAAAATTAAAAGTGGTGAAAAATATGTAACAAGAAGAAAGTACTAGGGGCTGGAGAGATGGCTCAGTGGTTAAGAGCATTGCCTGCTCTTCCAAAGGTCCTGAGTTCAATTCCCGGCAACCACATGGTGGCTCACAACCATCTGTAATGAGGTACCTTCTTCTGGCCTACAGAATATTGTATACATAATAAATAAATAAATATTTTTAAAAAATAATAAATATTTTTAAAAAAAGAAGAAAGTACTAATAACACATGAAATAAGTTATATAATCACTCATCTTAAGTTATATGACAACACATTTTAAGTTATATATTATATGACCACAATCACTCAAGTCATGTGACCACATATTTTATATGACCACACACGTCATATGACTACACATCTTAAGTGACACATATAATAGCTGGTTAGTGACACTAGAAATACAGTAGTGTTTGATGAGCATGACTGTGGCTCTAGGTTCAATCCAAAGCACTGCCAAAAAAGAAAAACTGTGCTGGACAGTGGCAGTACACGCCTTTAATCCCAGCACTCAGGAGGCAAAGGCAGGCAGATCTGAGTTCCAGGACAGCCAGAACGATACAAGAGAAACCCTGTCTGGAAAAGCAAACAAAAAGACAAAAGACAAAAAAAGAGGGAAAAAAATTTAAAAACCAAAGCAACAAGAAAAGCTAGAAGCAGCAGGGACGGCGGTGGTGGTGCACATCTTTAATCTTAGCACTTGGGAGGCAGAGGCAGACTGATCTCTGTGAGTTCGAGGCCAGCCTGGTCTACAGAGTGAGTGTCAGGATAGCCAGGGTTACACAGTGGAACACTATCTCAAAAAACTAAAAAAAAAAAAAAAAAAAAGGAAAGAAAGAAGAAAGGAAAATTAGCTAATCTTACAAAAAGTACATAAATCATCTTACATCTCCATCTCCAGTATGTGCTAAAAGGTGCCAAGTACATCTGAATTTTTGAGGAAATTATTAAGAAGTGATAACCTTTACTGTTCACTCACTCTTGGTGTAGGAAATATGGCCCAAGGGCTTTCTGAGACTGAGTATTACTATGTGCCTCAGACTGGCCATGAATTCCCAACCTTCCTCTCAAGTACGTTATACCATGCCCAAGTCAAAAAAAGTAGTAAGATTTTTTTAGGAAGCCTTTATACATTTAGTACAAATCATTAAATTAACACTAAACGTGGTGGATTGTGCCTATAATGCTAAAGCAGGATGCAGGAGGATTGCTAAGAGTTCCAGGCCAGCTTGGGCTATAGAACGGAAAAAGCAATCCTAAAGTCAAAAGGGAATTGATTAAGCTTTTAAGTTAGGAAATTCTCTTCAAATTTCTAGGTAAAAAAATCTTGTACATCATGTCAGCATCTCAAAAAGATCTTTTTTCCAAAGATCTTTTTAAACTAAACCAAAAAGAATCACTTGGCTCACAGCCCTAGCTGAGATGAAGCTTAACATATGGCTGAACTACATAGTTTGGGTCAGGAAGAAACAAGACAGAAGTACAATTTGTGCTCTAAAGCTGAGCACACATATGAAATGCTGTGTGGGGGTGTCAAGTATTACTCCACTCTACCACCAGATCTTCTTGGCAACGAGTGGTATAATTCTGAACAATCTTGGCCTCATATCATCATGAATATGCAAATTGGGGAACCCACATAATGTAAGGACACAGACATAATCATTTAATTGTTGGAATGCCATTCTATCATTTGTCAAAGGTTAAAAATCAGATGTTACTGGGTAGAAAGTGTTGGGGCACATCTTTAACCCCAGCACTGGGGAGGCAGAGGCAGGTGGATCACCACAGCAAATTCCAGACCCATCAGAGCTACACAGCAAGATCCTATCTTAAAAAAAAAAAAGCAAAATATAAAATCAGATGTTACTAGTCCATGAGATAATACCTAAGCTCAATTCATAATATAAATATTATTCAAGGTTTTAGGTTTTTCTGTTCACATTTAAAGTGTTCATTTTTATAATTATCAATTTATAAATTAATTTCCTATTTTTAAAATAAATTTCTAAAAAGTATGAAAGTATACAGCTTGATGGCAGAGTGCTTGCTTAGCATTTCCCAGGCCCCAATTCCCTAATATCAGGGGAATAAAGTGGGGTACTCTTTGGGAAATTCAGTATTTATGAGGTAGAAGCAAAAGCTTCAAGAATTAAGGCCATTCTATGCTATCTAGTAAGTTACAGGACAGCCTGGGCTACTTGACAGTCTATCTCAAAAACAAACAAACAACAAATAAAAAGCATGTAAGACTTCATGCAATCTTATGGATGGGTCTATAGCTCATCTATAGTAGGAGAGTTTGTATTGAGCATGCTCAAAAGTCCACGTTCAATTTCTAGTACTCAATACCAAAAACAAACAAAACCACCATATTTCCTATATGCAAATATTTCACAAAACTTAAAGACAATTTAGTTTCACGAATAAACAAAAATATCTTGATTCTTCAGTGACTGAATTCTGATTACCATAAAGTATGCACATCACTGTCATATATCTACAGACTTGAAATCAACAATTCAGAGGAAAAGCACTCTACTAGGGAATAAAAGAATAAAAGCTATACATTGAGGGTTGCATGCAATATTATAATTATCTTCTAGAAGAGTTATTACAGGAGAAAGGGAAAGAATTCATGCCTGACCAAGTTAGGTTTTAGTGACTGCACTGGTGCACAGTCTTTTCAAACTGACTCACGCAGTCTCTACCTCCAGAGGCTACTGCACAAAGTCCGTACCTTCCTTTCCCTTACAGCCACAGTAAGGGCTGGAGAGGTGGCTGAGGAGTGCAGAGCACTCGCTGCTCCTGCAGAGGACTCAGGTTCAGTTCCCAGTACCCACAAGGCGGCTCACAACCATCTGTAATTCCAGTTCCAGGGGATCCAATGCCCTCTTCTGACCTCTGTTGGCACCAGAAATGCAAAAATCGGCAGGAAGACTACTCACATAAAATAAATAAATCCCTTTTTAAAAATTAAATAAAGCTGGGAGTGGTGGTGTACTCCTTTAATCTCAGCACTCGGAAGGCAGAAGCAGGCAGATCTCTGTGAGTTCAAGACCAGCCTAGGCTATATAGTGAACTCCACGACAGCCAGGGCTACATAGACAGACAAATAAATATATCCCCTCCACCCCCCAAAAAATTTTGTTCATGAAACAGAGTTTTATGATACAGCCTTTTCTGTTCTTTTTTATGGACTCTCGCTGTCCTAGGCTGACCTGGAACTACACAGCCCCGTCAGCCTCAAACTTAGACTATTCTCCTCAGTCTCCTGAGTGTTGGTATGTGCCAACATACCTAGCCACAGTATGGATTTGAAAGAGAATTAGAAGGTATGTAATGCAGCTTTCTAAAAATAAAATAAAAGCATAGTATCGCTAAGCTCAATATTGCCCTACATACTGCCTCAGTTTCCTTCGTTATTAGAGCACTTCCATACCAAGTTCTCTAGGTTATGTCAATTAATCACAAAGCAGAAAGGCTGGCATAAATCTGATTTTTTTTGAAGTTCAGAATAAAAGACTTCATAGCTTTCAATGGCCTACTTTAAAGAAAAGGAAAGCTGGTTCATTCACTTGCTCAGCAGCGTTAGAAACAAACACAAAGGCTTCATGCTGCCATGATTTTATTTTAAAGAACAATACTTGTGAAAGGCAGGTAAATACATGGGTAATAAAAGGGAAAAAAATGACAGACACAATTTCATGCAAGAACTATATTAAGCAACTAAGAAACACCATCCTATTTTCCACATGTATTAGTCCTAACGCTAACCTCAAAAGTTTTCCTTTTGTCCTGATTTTATTCTTCTTTCAATCCCTTCTGGGAACGCGGAGTACCACCTCCTTCTTCATAGGGATTTCAAAGAGTATCAGAAGGCAGCAATTCCTTAGCCACCTACATGTTCCAGGTGCATTCACCCCATCATTTAAATGCACAAAGAATTCCCTATGTAGCTGAATGTGCAGTACTAACAGCGTGTTTCTATGTTTGCTATAACTGATGTCAAACAAGGCAACAAAAGCAGTGGTTTATGGGTCACTGCAAATCTCAAGCTGGGGACTAATGCTAGGAACCATTAAGTGCTCAGTGTAATTAGACTGATATTCTGAATTATGAACTTATTTCTATACTGACCTTTGCTTTTGTTCCCAATGAAAAATAAGCCTTATCGTAGCAGCATGCCCCCAGCTTTCCCCTAAAAAGGAAAAAAAAAAAAAGAATTACCTATATAATACCTTTAGAATTTTCAAATTGCTTAGAAGGTCTCTGGCCAAATACAATCTTATATTACCAAATTTAGAATAAAAATATTCTTGAGCCGGGCAGTGGTAGCGCACGCCTTTAATCCCAGCACTCAGGAAGCAGAGGCAGGTGGATTTCCTTGAGTTCGAGGCCAGCCTGGTCTACAAGAGCAAGTTCCAGGACAGCCAGAGCAGTTACATAGAAAAACCCTGTCTTGAGAAACTAAAAAAAAGAAAAGAAATATATAATAATAATAAAGCATTTACTTAAAAAATAATATTCTTGGTTTTGACTAGGCAGTGGTGGTGTTTACCTTTAATCCTAACACTCAGGAGGCAGAGGCAGGGGAATATCTGAGTTTGAGGCCAGCCTGGTTTAAAAAGTGAGTTTCCGAACAGCCAGGACTACAGAGAAAACCGTCTCTGAAAAAAACAAAGTACAAACAAAGCAAACCAAAGAATGTTCTTGGTTTCAAAACCTGTGGCACATGAGGAAGATCCCAAGAGTGATAGTTTTACTTCTCCAGGAGAGCAATGCAAACCACTGTCCTCTATTTGCTTTATGAAAAGGTTATAGTTCCAGTATATTATCAACCTTCCATTCTATAAGGCCAACTATGTATTTTTGACACCCAGTAACAGGGTCTCATTATGGTTCTGACTGACCTGGAATTTGATAGGTAGACCAGGATGGCCTTGAATTAAGAGAACCCAGTCTGCTTCTGCCTCTGGAGTGCTGGGATTAAAGACAAGTCACCAAGGAGGTTTCATTATGCAGTCCAGGCTTTTCTGGGATTTCTGGGTTAAAGTTCCTCCTACTTCAGCCTCATGAGGGGCTGGGACTACAGTTCTGTATCACCATGTTTGGCACACAGAATATTACTGGGTTTCAATAATACATCAAGATAGATCTTGAAACATTGTGTTCTAATAAAATCACATTAGAAATATAGTCATGGGCTGGAGAGATGGTTCAGTGGTTAAGAGCACAGACTGTGCTCCCAGAGGTCCTGAGTTCAATTCCCAGCAACCACATGGTGGCTCACAACCATCTGTAATGGGATCTGGTGCCCTCTTCTGGCCTGCAGGCATACATGCAGGCAGAACACTGTATACATAATAAATAAATCTTAGGAAAAAAAAAAGAAATATTGTCATACCTGTTTGCACTGGTATAATTTGTATTTAAATAGACTCATTCTTCTTCCTGCCTAAGATCGCGAGCTTAGGTTTTTTTTAAATTTCTTTTTTATTTTAAGCAGTCAGTGAGTGCTCTTAATAGTTAAGCCACCTCTCCAGCTCCTAAGACTGAGGGGTTTGCTTGTTTTTCTGAGACAGGGTTTCTCTATGTGGCCCTGGCTGTCCTGGAACTCTGCAGACTAGGCTGGCCTCCAACTCAGAGATATGCCTGCCTCTGCCTCTGCCTCCTGAGTGCTGGAATTAAAGGTGTGTGCTACCACTGCCCAGCAAGACTGAGGTTTTAATGTCTAGAATCCTATTTTGAATATTTACTTCTCAAGTTTCTAACATAGTTGCCAGATAACAGATACTCAATAAATGTTTGTTAAATTATGAAAGGATTAGTCGGACACTGCGCTTAGTGAGCAGATGAGTCAGTGGACAGTCTCTGCTTTCAAAGCTTATAATATTCAAACAAATGACAAGGTAGGAAAATACTAAAATGAAAATGTTTTATCTAACTCATTTACCCACCTAATGCAGGAACAAGTAATGCTTGACTTTTATCAATCTTTGTTGTCATCTGATTTGTTAAAATAACCTATAAGAGCAAAACATAAGAAAGTTAGGATATGCTGGGCAGTGGTGGTGTGCACGCCTTTAGTCCCAGCATTTGGGAGACAAAGGCAGGTAGATCTCTTTGAGTTTGCGGCCAGCCTGGTCTACACAGCTAGTTCCACGACAGCCAGGGCTACATAGAGAAACCCTGTCTCGAAAAACAAAAAGTATGTAAACAGTCCTATGAGCTTAATATTCTGAACATAACAAGTTAAAGAAAATATATTAGAGGCTAGAAAGATGACTCAAATTCAGGACCCAGATTCAATTTCCAAAACTCACATGGTGGCTCACAATTTATAACAGTGGTTCTCAATGTTCCTAATGCTTTGACCCTTTAATACAGTTCCCTCACATTGTAGTGACCCCCCCCAACCATAAAACTATTTTTGCTGCTTTCTTTTTTTTCTTTTCTTTTTTTCCAGACAGGATTTCTCTGTGTAACAGTCCTGGCTGTCCTGGAACTCACTCTGTAGACCAGGCTGGCCTCGAACTCACTGAGATCCGCTTGCCTCTGCCTCCCAAATGCTGGGATAAAAGGTGTGAGCCACTAATGCCCAGCTTCATTGCTATTTAATGCCTATAATTTTGCTACTGTTACGAATCATAATGCAAATATCTGTGTTTTTGATGGTCTTGGGGGGTGGGTTATGACCCACAAGTTGAGAAGCTGATTTAAACTTCAAATCCAGAAACCTGAAACCCTCTTATGATCTCCTCTGGCACCAGGCACACAGACAAACATGCAGGTAAAACACTCATACACACAAATTAAATAAAGCTCTTTAAAATACAAAATTTTTTTCTAAATAAAGGTGAAAAGAAGAAGGGGATTTGCTCATTTGTTCGAAAATTTAAAAATAAAAATTTTCTGTACTTAGCTGCAAACATGTGTTATCAGAAAACATGATAAGAAAAATATGAAGGAACAAAGAATTCTTGTTTTTTATTTATTTTTGATTTTTAAGACAGGGTTTTTCTTTTTAACTGGCTGTCCTGGAACTCACTCTGTAGACCACCAGGCTGGTCTTGAACTCAAGAGATTCACCAGCCCCTGCCTCTCAAGTGCAAGTGCTGAGATTAAAGGCATGCTCCAACTCCAGGCCTATTTTTTTTTTAAGACAGGGTCTCTCATTGAATCTAGGATTCTTCTTTGAGTTGGCTGGCTGGCTGGCAAATCCTTTCCCTGCCCTCACCTTCACAACGCTGGGATCACAGGAGTGTAGTGCCATGTTCGGCTTTTATGTGGGTGCTGGGGTATTGAACTCAGGTCTTCACGCTATCAAAGCAAATACTTTATTCACTGAGCCATCTCTCCAGTACCCTACACTTTTTAAAATTCAAATCTTGGGGCCTAGTGGCATATGCCTTTAATCGCAGCACTTGGGGACAGAGGCAGGCATATATCTCTATGAGTTTGAGGCCAGCCTGGTCTAGATAGAGAGTTCAAGGGCAACCAGGGATACTTAGACCTATCTCAAAAAATAACATAAAAATTTTAGCCAAATATAGTGGTACATTCCTTTGGTCCTAGCACTTAAGTAGAAGCAAGCCGTAATGTCATACCTTAAATGCTTTTTTTCTTTTTGGTTTTTCCGAGATTGGGTTTTGCTGTAGTTTTGGCGCCTGTCCCGGAACTTGCTCTGTAGACCAGGCTGGCCACAGACTCACAGAGATCTGCTTGCATCTGCCTCTCAAAGATTAAAATCGTGAGGCACCACCACCTGGCATATCTTATACATTTTTATAAACTGCCTTGGTCAGGGAGGCACTGGAGGAAAGGAGGAAAGGGAAACTTTGGTAGGGATGTAAAAACAAAAATAAAGTATTCCAAATTTGCCTTGGTCACAGTGCTTTTGTCACAGCAATAAAAAGGTAAGACAGCAAGGCATAGTGGTACATTCATTTATTCCCAGCACTTCAGAGGTAGAAGCAGGGGCAAAAAGATCTGTTTGATACCAGCCTGGGGACATGAGTTTCAGAACAGACAGTAAGACCTTGTCTCCAAAAAAAATGTAAGATAAGAATTTAGTGTCATCCTTAGATGTATAGTGAATTCAAAGTCAATTTGAGCTAAATGAGACCCTGCCCTGAAAAAAACAAAATAAAACCCAAGTCATTATCCACCATCTTTAATTCCAGTATTAGTAGATCCAGTGCCCTCTTCTGGCCTCCTTGGAGACAGCACTGACATGGTACACAAACATCCATGCAGGTACAGCACCCATGCACATATAAAAGACTTAAAAGAAAAACACCAGGCAGTGGTGGTGAATACTTTTAATCTCAGTGCTTGGGAGGCGGAGGCAGGTGGATCTGAGTTCAAAGACAGCCTGATCTACAGAATGAGTTCTAGGACAGCCAGGGTTACAATAGAAAATCCCCGACTCAAAAAACAAAAACCAAAACCAGACAAACACAAAAAAACTAAAATTAAGGCAGAGAGCGACTGAGAAAGATAATCAGTGCTGACCTCTGGGCTCCACAGGCAAATGCACAATTGTACATGGGCCTACATGTATACACACAAACCAAAATTTATATACATAAAAGAGAAAGGGCTAAATTAAAATAGGGCAGGGGATATAGTTCAATGGCAGAATGTTTGCATAGTATGTTTGAAGTCTTGGGCTAGAGGAGCAGCACCAGCAGCAGCAAAACAACAGAACAAGAAAAATCCACCAGAACCTAGGAAACTATGACACTCTGCAGCCTGTTTGTCTTGAGCGCCCTTTACTGGGGGATCTTCAGGACACCAGCACTAAGGATGCTAAATCCCACTTAGCAGTACGAAATAATTCAAAAGGCACTATGCTTTGGCAAAAAGGATATGGTAAGATGGTAAAGTGGTACTCAGTGGGTAAAGGCACTTTCCATGCAGTCTGACAACTTAGGTTTGATCTCTGGGAAAACACAGTGGAGAGAACTGACTAATCCTAGCACTGGGAGGCAGAGGCAAGCGGATGTCTGTAAGTTTGAGGCCAGTCTGGTTTATAGAGTGAGTTCTAGGACTGGCTCCAAAGCTACCCTATCTCAAAAACATTTAAAACAAACAAACAAAAAAACAGAGGGGCTGGAGACGGTTCAGAGGTTAAGACTGTTCTTCCAGAGGTCTGAGTTCAATTCCCAGAAACCACCCGGTGGCTCACAATCATCTATAATGAGATCTGGTGCCCTCTTCTGGCCTGCAGGTATAACACTGTATATATAATAAATCCATAAATTTTTTTAAAAAAGACTAAGATGTGGAAACACAAAGAAAAAAGTGTATAGTTTAAATTTTACAGGGAAGTTTTTTATTTACATTTGGTATGTCACAGGCATGTGCTAACAATTTTCCTTAAAAGGTGTATATATATAAAAACAAACAAACAGGGTAACTCAGCATTTTTATCTCCCGTCTCTCTTCTGACAAGTGCATTTTTGTCAATGGGAGGATGTGCAGAGTGAAAATTAATGGCAAACAGGCAACCCTGCACTCTTTGGTTCACATATATTTGCCTACCGTGCATGAGGCTCTGGGTCTAATCTACTCATGCAAAATATGTATAAATTTAAACATTAATCTTTTTGTTTTGTTTTTCAAGACAGGGTTTCTCTGTGCAGTCTTGGCTGTCCTGTAACTCATTCTGTAGACTAGGTTAACCTCGAACTCAGAGACCCACCTATCTCTGCCTCCTGAGTATTGGGATTAAAGGTGTGCATCACCACCACGCCCAGCCAGACATCAATATTTCATAAAGTCTTAACTATAAAATTCTCTGACTAATAATACTTACAGCTAATCTGTGATTATTTGCGAGGCTGATCATTTGTTGGGCTAGGCCATTCAGTAACCGAGTACGAAGGGACAGATCCTCCAAGTCATGACGGAAAGGAAAAGCAATGCCATCTATTATCACTAACTGCACCTAAACACAGGAGAATGAAATTAGGCTTGGAGTTAGAATTACAATTACAATAAACATATACCATTACAGAAGTAAACCTTAAAACTGAGGGCTTAAAAAAGAAAGAAATCAATTTGGGTGGGGTGGCACAGGCCTTTAATCTCAGCACTCAAGAATCAAAGACAGGTGGATCTCTTTTTGAGGCCACCTAGTCTACAAAGCAAGTTCCGGGTCAGCCAGGGCTGTTACAGAGAAAGCTTGTTTGAGGGAAAAACAACTCCCCATCAAAAAAGAAAAAAAAAAGAAAGACAGACATCTAGTTTGCTAGCTGGACATTTTTGATGCAGTTGGAGAGATGGCTCAGCAAGTTCAGTTCCTAGTACCCATGTCAGGCAGTTCACAACTTCCTATAACTCCAGGTATCTGTATAGGTGATCCAATGCCCTCCTCTGGCCTCCAGTCACTTGCATAATTAAAAATAAAAGCATGGTGGTATATATCTATAATTTCAGCACACAGAAGGTGAAGAAAGAAGGATCGTGAGTTTCAGGCCAGGCTGGGCTATCCAGTGAGACTCTATCTCAAATTAAATAAAAATAGTTTTCTTTTATAATGCGAGGAATTAAATCTGTGGCCCACAGATGGTAAGCACTCTACTACTGAGCTACATACCTCACCCTAGGGTTTTATTATTCTATGCATATTAGTTTTGCCTCCATGTGTGTCTGTGCACCATGTTTGTGCCTAGTGCCTGTGAAGGTCAGAAGAGGGCAAGAGGTCCCTTAGAAATAAATTTATAGACAGCCACTATGTGGGTGTTGGCATTCCAACTCTGGAGAGCAGTCAGGGTTCTTAACCATCTCTCTGGCCCTCAAAGGCTTTCTTTCTTTTGGAAAGTATCACCCAATGATTCTACATTAATCATCACCTGAATACTAGCATTACATGCACATGCAAGGTTCGAGCTTCATTTCTGTTGCTGGAGATGGTTCAGCAGTTAAGAGCACTGGCTGCTCTTCCAGAGGAACCAAGTTCAATTCATAGCACCCACATGGCAATTAACAATCTTCTTTAACTCCAGTTCCAGGAAATCAGTGCCCTCTTTCAGGCCTGTGTGGACATTGCACATACATGGTACACAGACACAAATGCAATCAAAATGTCCATATATACGTTAATAAAAAAAAACCAAAAAATCATATGGTGTGGTGGTTTGAATGAATATCCCCGAGAGTCTAGTATCTGAATACTTGGTTCCCAGTTGGTAGCGCTGTTTGGCCAGGCTTAGAAGTGTAGCCTTGCTAGAGGAAGTACATCTCTTGGGACAAGTTTTGAGGTTTCGAAGCCATGTACCATTTCCAGTTTGTTCTCTCTGCTTCTGGCTTGCAGTTAAATATGTGAGCTCTCAGCTGTCCTGCTCCATCTCTGATGCTATGATTCCCTGCTATGATGGACTCTTAACCCTTTACAACCAAAATGTCCGTGCGTTGTCACAGCAACAGAAAACTCACTGTAAGAACCCCACACAGCCACGGAAATCCTGAAACTCACTGTAAGAACCCCACACAGCCACAGAAATCTTGAAAAGAACAAAGTTAGAGGACTCTTGCCTCCTAATTTCAAAATATACTAAAAAGCTATAGTAACCAAAACAGTCTAATAGTAGCTGAGAATCTGTAGAACACTTGCCTCACATGTATTAGACTTTAACTTTGAGCCCCATCAAAAATACAAAGAGACAGACAGAGTGACTAAGGAGAGGTAAACCGATTGAAATTAAAAAACAAAAAACAAAAAACAGTAGAACAAATGCCAGGCATGGTGGCACATACCTTTAATCACAGCACTCGAAGGCAGAGGCAGATGGAACTCTGAGTTTGGAGCTAGCCTGGTCTTAGTACAAGTTCTAAGAAAGCCAGGGCTACACAAAGAAACCTTGTCTCAGAATATTATTATTATTAACATTATTATTATTATTATTACAGGCTGAATATGGTAACAAAAGCCTGTATCCTGGCACTTGAGTGAAGACAGAATGATTGAGAATTCAAGGTCAGCTGAGCAGTGTGGCCCACATCTTTATCTCAGCACTCTAGAGGTGGAGGCAGGTGAATCTCAAGGCAAGACTGGTCTACAGAGTGAGTTCTAGGACAACCAAGGCTACACAGAAAAACCCTGTCTAAAAAAGCAAAACAAGACCTATACGCTGGGCGGTGGTGGCACACCACCAGCACTGGGGAGGCAGAGACAGGTCAATCTGTGAGTTCAAGGCCAGCCTGGTCTACAGAGCAAGTTCTAGGACAGGCTCCAAAGCTACACAGAGAAACCTTGTCTCAAAAACCCAAAAACAAAAACAAGACCAAAAGAACATAACAACCTATACACAAGAATATATATTTTGAAATGTATATAGTGTAGATATATGCAAAAAAGTAGAGTAAAATAAGTAAGTTGCAGGGCAGGGACAGAAGAGACTTTTGAACCATACTACACTTTATTTTTGTATTATCAACACTTTCAAAGACTTTATTTCAGTAGTATAATTGATACCTTTGAATGATCTGAAAGGAAATCTGGAAGGAGATAGACTTGTGCCAGCAGCTCAGTGTAATCATGACAACGGAAATAATAAATATGGGAAAGAATATTTTCAAGAGTGAAATCCTCCAAGGCTTTCTGATGTTCTGAAATAAACAACAAAGCAATCTGAAAACAGTTTAGTCTTTCTTTTCTTAATTGTCTGACAATCACAGATATGTTATTTGCACCCTTGTAAAACAACATAATTTCTAAAAGATGACAGAACAACCGCAGAAAAGCTGGAAACTGTGCTTTGTTGACTGCTGATCTTATCTATTTATTTTTTAATGTTTTCTATTTCTTTAAGAGTTCTTTCTGCTCTTGCAGAGGACCCTAGTTTGGTTCCCAGTACCCTCATAGCAGCTTACAACTGTCCACAGCTCCAGTTCCAAGGGATCTGATGTCACCTTTTGGTTTTCAGGAGCATCAGGCACAGGCATGGTGAGCTTACATGCAGACAAAATACCTAATCATATTAAAATATTTTTTTAAAAAATACATTTTAAAATGCAATAATTAGTTTCTCATTTCAAAACCAAACTTACTTTATTGTCTTTAATTATTTATTCACAAATAAACAAAATTCTTACTGTTTATCTCCAGCTATTGATTTCTACTTAACAGAAGTATCACAACTGAAGTTTCTCTTTCTTGTTTTTGAAGAATACAAATTAAGAATTCAAAGGAAAATCCAGGGGCTAGGGGGTGTGGCTCACACCTTTAATTCTAGCACTTGGTAGGCAGAGGTAAGCAGATCTCTGAGTTCAAAGCCAGTCTGATCTACAAACTGAGTTCAAGGACAGTCAGGGCTACACAGAGAAACCCTGTATTGAAAATAAAACAAAACAAACAAATTAAAAGAAAAAAACATTTTAAAAGAAAAATGTTCCAATGGAGTACATTTTCCCTTTAATACTCTAATCTTTGAGTAGTAACACTATGAAATCTTTTTTTTTAAAGATTTGTTTATTTATTATTTATACAGTACAGTGTTCTGCCTACATGTGTGCCTATACACCAGAAGGGGGCACCAGATCTCATTACAGATGGTTGTGAGTCACCATGTGGTTGCTGGGAATTGAACTCAAGACCTCTGGAAGAACAGCCAGTGCTCTTAACCTCTGAGCCATCTCTCCAGCCCCCCACTATGAAATCTTAACACTGGATTTTAAAAAGTCAGTATGGTTTAGAATTTAAGGCCACCTTGGTCTACACAGAAAGTACTGGGACAGCCATGTTTAAAAAAAAAAAAAATGAATTAAAAAAAAAAAAGCGGGGAAGGTGCTTAGAAAGATGGCTCAGTGGCTAAGAATACTGGCTGTTCTTCCAGAGCAACCAGGTTTGAGTTCTAGAACCTATGTGGCAGCTCACAATAGACGGTAGTTCTAGTCCGAGGAGATCTGATGCCCTCTGCTGGCCTCCAAAGGCAATGTACACAGACAGTGCATCCATACATTCAGGCAAAACCCAAACACATAAGAGAAAATAAAGCGAGTTTGGTTTTGAAATGAGAAACTAATTATCACATTCTAAAATGTATTTTTTAAAAAAGATTTTAACGTGATTAGGTGTTTCGCTTGTATGTAAGTGCACCTTGTGAGTGCCTTATGCCCACTGAGGCCAGAACTGGAGCTCATGAGCGTGCTGGGAACCAAGCCGAGATCCTCTGCAAGAACAGCAAGAGCTTTTAATGAATGAGCTCTCTTCAGTCCCTACGATGTATGTGATGGCTGACAAGATGATAACCTGAGTTCAATCTCTAGGAGCCACACAGTAGGAGAAACTACTCAAATTTTCTCTGATCTCCACACCTGAGCATACATATTAAGTAAAATGAGATGTTTTTTAAAAAGATTTATTTATATATATGGTGCTTTGTCTACATATACACTATAGTTGGTTGTGAGCTGCCATGCGGTTGCTGGAACATGAACTCAGGACCTCTGGAAGAGCAGGTAGTACTTTTAACCACTGAGCCATCTCTCCAGCTCAACAAATGTCAGAAACTGTTTAACTTGGGAGTTTCAGACCAGCTAACCTACATAGTTCCAGACCAATTTGGGTACAGAGTAAGATCCTGTCTCAAAAAGTCAAATAAAAAACGACTTATGCTTTAACATTACAAAACAAAACCAACAGGAGGCTGCAGTGGGAGGTGCTCGCCTACTCTGAGCAGGGCCCTGGTTCAATCCCTCGCATGTGTATGCACAAGAGCGTGTGTACAGAGATTCATTCACACAGAGAACAGGGGCTGGAATGACATTCAGTGATAGAGTGCTTGACTAACATTTCCAAGGCCTTGGGTTTGATCCCCAACATTGCAATAATAAACAACAAAACAAAACATCACAAAATTATCTGCAACCAGGAGCTCACACCTGCAGTCCCAGCAGGTGGGGACAGGAGGCAGGAGGCTCAGCTCCAGATCATCCTCGAGTATATAACAGTACAAGGATATCCTGGAAACTAGATTTCAGATTAGTAAACTCTGGCTTCTTCCAATATACACTAAGTTAGTAAAAAATAAAACAAAACAAACAAACAAACAAAAAAACCTTTAGTTTTCCTCATGCACCAATCATTAAAGCCTTCACATTCCAGTGCCTCAGCACATCTGTCCATACAGGACTTTCAAGTACAGACTGTGACGGGGTAAGTCATTTTAGACAGAATTATTTTGTCTTCTACCTTTCCAGAGTCTCTACTGAAAAGATCTAACAAAAGAAAATAGAATTTGGGAGAAGGGGAGGAGGTGGAAATTTTTAATAAATAAATAAATTAAATTAAAAAAAAAAGGAAAATAGAATTTTTTTTTAATGAACTGTGTGTGCATGTTTATGCAAACGTCACAGTGCATCTGTGGATTTCAGGGGACAATTTTCAGTTCTCTTCTTCTATTATAGCAGTTCTAGAGATCAAATTCACATCATCAAGCTTGGTGACAAGCACCTTTACCTGCTGAGCCATCGCACTGGCCAAGGCGTTTACCTTTTCAATTACTTACAAAAGTAATGGCTGCTGTGCTGGATAGGTGGCTCAGTGGTGAAGGACGTGAACTGTGCTGGGTGTGGCGATGAGCACCTTTAATCCCAGCACTTGGGAGGCTTGGCAGGCAGATTTCTGTGAGTTTGAAGCCAACCTGGTCTATAAAATGAGTTACAGGACAGCTAGGACTGTTACACAGAGAAACCCTGACTTGAAAAACCATAAAAAAAGAAAAATTAAATTTAAAAAAGCAATGGCTGCTAAGTTGGGTATGACACAGGTCTGCCATTCCAGCATTCTGGAGACTGAGGCAGAATGATCACAGATAGCTAGGCTTCAGGGAGAGTACTGTTAACTAGGCAGAAGCTTCAAGTTGGGACAACCTTAATGAAGTCTGAAAAGGCACAATTACAAACTGTACTTCTTGTCCAGGAGCACTATGTGCTAACTCACCTTCGTCCATGTGTGCTCCTGCTGTAAGACGCAGGTGCTGAATGCAGGCAGTTGCAAGGGTTGCCACTCTATCAACCATAAAACTTCCCTCTGTGTCAATAAATACTGCTTCACCAGCCACTCCTCCAAAGCATTCTGGAATCTGCACATCCACTGCCAATTGCATACTGTCAAGAAATCAGTCACATGACCGAATCATTATCATAACTATCAAAATGTCTTTTGTAAACTGCGTATAATCATCAGCTAAACCATCAAGTTTTCTAAATACAAATGTAGTACCCCAAGGCAACAGAGAAGGCTAACTCTCCATAGCTCCAAATAATTATGAATCCATAGATGCCTAGATTATAGTGCAGGTATTGCACAAAATTACGATGAAGTAACTCTTAGTGGTTTTTAGGTTTCTAGGAATTGAATGGTTTATATTTTCTCCCCTTTTTTTGAGTTAGGGTCTGGAAATGTAGCCCAGGCTGGGCCTTCAACTCTCAATCCTTCTATCTCAATCTCCAGCCTTACTGCTAGATTTACAGGAGTGTGTCACTACTCCAGGTAGACATACTTTTTTTTTTAAGATTTATTTATTTGAGCCAGGTGGTGTATGCCTTTAGTTCCAACACTTGGGAGGCAGAGACAGGCAGATCTCTGTAAGTTTGAGGCCAGCCAAGTCTATATATAAATCAAATTTAAAACATTTGACAGCTATAACTCAGAAGCCAACTAATTAGTAGAGAATCTGCTTACTCTAATGACCATATTGTATTATAAAAGAAACATTTCTGACATCAAAGCTGCTCTATCCCTTCACTAAGATGGTGCCTGAGATAATATGAACGGTAAGCTGACTGTTGCATGAAGTAGTAACACACGCTTTTTGTTATACTGACTACAAACTCACAGCACAATACTCTATTAGTTACATAAAATACTAAGTCAATCCTTAAGTAGAGAACGTCCTTATTTTACCATAATTGTGTTTTCCCAACACCTGGCACACCACAAACTTCTGTCGTTTTCGTTAGGGGTATTCCACCCCCGAGAATGTTATCTAGTGCTGAACAGAAGGTGATTATGAAGCCCTGGGTGTGTTCCTGTTCTAGAAGTTCCAGGGCTGTGCACTTCCTGACTGCCACAGAAGTACCAGCACATCTTGGGTTTTCTGTGCGACATTCTCTTCTTACGATCTGTAGAGTTTCTAAAGCTTCCTCTTTAGATATCCCAACTTCTGAAAATAAAATCGGGGGGGGGGGGGGAACTGACATTAGAGATTTAAAAGTCTAACTCAGAGTCAAATGTGGTGGCTCACACCTTTAAGCTCAGCACTAGCAAGTTCCAGGACAGCCAGGACTACAAAGAGAAGCCTTGTCTCAAAAACAACCAAACAAAAGTCTACCTCGGTGATGAATTATCACACTAACTTCAAGGTTTATTTAATCGCTGATCAAACCCAGGGTCTTAAGCACCAGCAGCTAGTTAGTGCTCTCTCAGTTACTGCGCTGTTAGCAACATTACTGCTACTAAAACTCACACATTAGACGAGTGGTGCGGCCCTAATTTTAAGTAGAGCGCTGAACTAGCATTTGCAAAGCTAATTGCAAAGCATTACCAAACACTTAAACAAAACATTATATTCTGTCCTCTTTGGTGAACAGCAAAGAGTTGTGCACAGTATTAGTGGCACAGTGGATGATGCCAGCTTTACTTTTGTGTACATTAAGGATGCAGTGATTCCCACTTAAATGTAATCTGAAAAGCTCTGAAAAAACTGTTTGGGGCATTCCGTGAATCATAAAGGTCGTCAGTCGTCTTTCTAGGGCTTTCTCCTATTCCTTTCTCACTGAATCGTCTATTTCTAATCCTTCATCTCTCGAATCCAATTTCCATTCTCCCCACTCCCAGAATCTTCAAACAGTGAGAATTACATGGCTTGTCTGTTTTCCAATTCTAGAGCCATTATTACCCAACTTAGTTATCATGAAACCTCAAGATGAAAAATTGGTTTTAAAAAAAAAAAAACAATAATAAAATAAAAATTGTTTTTTTGTTCATCTATAGATTAGACACCCTGGTCCAAGAGACTTCCTTTGAGCGTAAGTGAGGCAGTCCTCAAAGCATCCAGGAGGCGTGGACACAGAGAAAGCAATAGTAAATGTTTTTCCACATAGTTCCAACTACAAGCAAAGAGTCGCTTTACGTCGTCAACGCGGTGGCGGGAGAAGGTGCCTCCAGGCGGCCGCGGTGCATCAGCTGGCCGCCGGGAGTCGTTACCTTTGCTGAGCTCAGAGGGCTTCACCTCCAGGATGTCCTCGGCAGTCTGGAACCCTGCAGCCACCAGCTTCACGCGCACCGCGGGAGACAGCGGGAAACTCACTAATTCCCGCTGCATTTTGAAAGCTCAGCCCCTACGCACACGGTGACGTAGAGCGAGAAGCGCGCGAAGTCCTCGCGGCCCAAACCCCGCCCGCCCCATGCTGCGTGACGTCATGCGCACGGCGGAAGGGGCGGGGCTCGCGCGGCATAGCCTCCCGAGGCCCTGCTGTAGGAGACATCCCCCCCAAAGTACCCAAGTACTCGTGTGTTTTCCTCTGTGACTCGTCTGAAGCACTTTGTGGGGTCCCTTTGCCAAGGGTATAGCCTGACAGGAAAAACGCGAGGCTGGAGACGCGAGGATGGTGATCAGGCCCAGTGGTCCCCGGATCACCATGCCGTGTTTCCTCTCCTCGCTCTCACCTGTTTCATGGGTCCATAGAAATCATCTCCCAGCCGCCGGTGGTGGCGCACGCCTTTAATCCCTGCTCTCGGGAGGCAGAGGCAGGCGGATCTCCGTGAGTTCGAGGCCAGCCTGGTCTACAAGAGCTAGTTCCAAGGCAGACAACAAAGCGACATAGAGAAACCCTCTGTCACAAAAACAAAGAAACAAAAAAAAAAAAAAAGAAAGAAAAAAATCTCCCTAGGTGAAAGTAGCAGCAGCAGGAAAGTAGAAGCAGCAGCAGTTGAATACTGGTCAGTTGCCAGTTTCTTGCTGTGAAAAATTCAGAGCCCCTTGTTGTTTTGTTTTGCTTTTGATTTTTCAAGCCAGGGTTTCTTTGTAGCTTTGGAGTCTGTCCTGGAACTAGCTCTTGTAGCACTGTTGCCGAAAGCTTCTTACATGCCAGCACCACAGCCATGGAGGTGCCTTGGTTCTTCTTCCTAGCTGGCCCCGCGCAAGGGATTGTGGGACAGCCTCCCCCACCTTGAGGGGGGCGCTGTTAGCGGGGAGCCGTTGACGCTGTAGTGCGCGCCCACGCACCCACGTACCCGCGTGCCCACGCACACTTTCCGGTGGGTGAGAACCTGGGCGTTCTCTCGGGAGCGTGGCGGTTTCAGAGAGCTTTAATGTCCGCTGTCCTGCCTAGTGTATGAAGTAGCTGGAAAAGTAAGAAACTATACGCTTGTCTCGTAGTCTAGCGTGGTCCTCTGGTGTCCTGAGAGGGAGGGACTGGACTCCTTAAGTAGCAGCGGAAGTGACCGCTTCCAAAAGAGAACTTTTGGGGAGATTGGTAGTTTGGAAGGTGACTTATGAGTTCCTCTGCCTAGGAGGTATAGAGGGGGTGTGATGAAGTGTCTCGTACCCTACATTAAAATAAACCTCCTCTGCCGGGCAGTGGTGGCGCACCGCACGCCTTTCACTTGGGAGGCAGAGGCAGGTGCATCTCTGAGGTCCATGCCAGCCTGGTGTACAGAGCGAGTTCCAGGACAGCCAGGGCACCACAGAGAAATCCTGTCTTGGAAAATAAAATAAAATAAAATAAAATAAACCTCGTAAATTGTAGGATACGGGCATACAGAACCCTCCCCTTTTGTACTCTTCCTATCGGCAACAACTCTTTTTTTTTCGGTTTCTTTTTTTTTTAAATATATTTATTTATTATGCATACAATATTCTGTCTGTGTGTATGTCTGCAGGCCAGAAGAGGGCACCCGACCTCATTTCAGATGGTTTTGAGCCACCATGTGGTTGCTGGGAATTGAACTCAGTACCTTTGGAAGAGCAGGCAATGCTCTTAACCACTGAGCCATCTCTCCAGCCCCTTTTTTCGGTTTCTTGAGACAGGGTTTCTCTGTGAAACAGCCGTAGCTACCCATAGCTTTGTAGACCACCCTGGCCTCGAATCTACAGAGATCTGCTTGCCTCAGTCTCCCAAGCGCTGGGATTAAAGGCGATCGCCACCACCGCCAGGCAGCAATAACTCTTTATTATTACCCTGCTTTTGTGTGTATGTGTAGGGACACAGGCCATGGTGCTAGTGTGGAGGTCAGAGGAGTTGGTTCTCAGCTTCCATCCTGTGGGTCCTGGGGATGGAACTCAGGTCTCAGGTTGTCAGGCTTGGCAGCAAGGCCTTTCTTTTTTTTCTTCTTCTTCTTTTTTCTTTCTTTCTTTTTTCTTTTTCTTTTTTTTTTTTTTTTTTTTTTTTTGTTTTGTTTTTTTTGAGACAGGGTTTCTCTAGCTTTGGAGCCTGTCCTGGAACAAGTTCTGTAGACCAGACTGGCCTCAAACTCAGAGATTCACCTGCCTCTGCCTCCCTAGTAGTGCTGGGATTAAAGGCGTGCGCCACCACCCGGCAAGGCCTTTTTTTACCTGCTGAACTATCTCACCTCTCTCTTGGCAATCGTTCTTAGCCTGGATTTTTATTCAGAGCTTTAAGGAACTCCTTAAATAGGGCAAATTAGTCTTTTAAATACTATGGGAGAAAGCAACATGTTGAGCAGTGTAGTGAATCTCATACATTTTAAATATGCATAGACATGTCATGAAGAGTACGAGGATGCTTAAAACTCAGCACGGTTTTCTTGAAGCTAAAATTTAAACCTAGAACCTTTTTTATTATCCTGAGCACTCTCCAAATTTTGTGCCTCCCTTCTGGGAGGGGGAAATGTTTGTATTTATCCCTTTTGATGATTCAAGGAAAGCCTGGTGGGCTGGACAAAAATCTGGTTTGTTTAAGTACCTTGCCTAGCTTATATAGGATTTACATTTGAGCAGTATTTATTAGATGTTTTCCCAGGGGGAATTCGTGCTTTATGTTTATAAAAGCAGTTGGGTTCTTGGGTGAAAAGATAGTGAACTTAAAAAGAGGGGAGGAAATGGTGTTAAAAGTGGGCGACTACGTGCTGTTAACATCTACCTTCTAATTTCCACTAGACAGAGTGGCACAGACTTCTAGTCCCAGCTGCTCAAGAGGTTGAGACAGGGTGATAACAGATCAGGGCTCACCCTGGCATGCAGAGTGAGCTCAAGCCCAGCTTGTGCAGCTGAGACCTAATGGCAAAGTAGAAAGAGGGCTGGGGACCTGTCTCAGTACTGCCTGGAATGTGAGGATATCACACACACACACACACACACACACACACACACAGCAAAACCAGACAACACAAAACCCATCCTGTGTGTGTGTGTGTGGTTTTCATTATTCTCCCCTGAAATTTTCAGTCCCGCACCTCTCAGTCCCTATCAGTCGCTGTTCTGCTTTCAGTTTCGAGTCTGATTTTTATGAATAGATACTTGGTGCAAATGGAATGGTAGTGTAATTATTCTTCTGTGACTGTCCTATTTCACTTAGATGAGGTTCTCAGGAATAGTCCATGCTGTGGCATCTGTCAGAATTTCCCATTTCATTACATTGATTTCTATGTGTGTGCATGTGCTCAGGGTGGCGTGATCTGTCTTTGTAGTAGTCTGTCCTTCCACCATGTGGGTCCCAGAAATCCAGCTCAGGTCTTCAGGCTTGACTGCAAACACTTTTTTTTATCCACTCAACCATCTCCTCGACCTTTAGGTTTGTCTTAATTATTGCTATTATCATCATCATCAGTGCTGGATGTTCTGTTGGAAGATTCACCCCGGCCCTCTGGCATCCATATAACCGAGTCTGGAATATTCTGGTGGAAGCTCTACTCCAAGCCCCCTCCCCCATCTCTCTATGAACCCCAGAGATGCTCAAAACCACTCCCACAGGGTATTTAAACTGCCTCCCACCCCTGAAAACAGACATGTGGTTTTTTGGTCTCTGTTTTCAGTCTCCCCTCTGGGGAGTGGAAAATTATCTGGAGTGTTTTATCCATTAAACCTGGGCTTTTTCTAATTTGGTTTGATTTGGTCTGATTTGGATTGCTGCATTGCCAGAGAGACTTATCAGGGTGCAGAAACTGTTCACTGGGGATATACGTTGGGTAAAGTGTGTGTCTCATAAGCATGAAGACTTAAGTTCAAATCGCCAGAATCCTTGTAAAGCTGAGCATAGTAGCACTTCTATAATCCTAGGACTCCTACATTGAGATGTGAGGCAGAGATAGGAAACTCTTGGAAGCCTGTGGGCCAGCTAGCCTAGCATATGCAGTGGCGTCTTAGGGTTATCATTGCTGTGATGAAATACAATTACCAAAAACAAGTTGAAGAGGAAAGGATTTATTTGGCTTACGCTTCCACATCATAGTTCATCATCTAAAGAAGTCAGGACAGGAACTTAAGCAGGGCAAGAACTGATGCAGAGGCCATAGAGGAGTGCTGCTTACTGGCTTCCTCCCCATGGCTTGCTCAACCTGCCTTCTTATAGAACCCAGGACCACCAGCCCAGGGATGGCACCACCCACAATAGGCTGGGCCCTCCCACATCAATCACTAATTAAGAAAATGCCTAACAGGCTTGCCTACAGATCAGTATTATGGAGGCGCTTTCTTCCTTGGGATTTCCTCCTCTCAGATGACTTTAGCTCTGTCAAGTTGGTATAAAACTAGCCAGCACAATTGACTAACGAAAAGACCCAGTTTCAAAGTGGAAGGTGAAGACCAATAGTCAAAGTTGTTCACTGACCTCCACAAGCATTCCATAGCACTAATGTGCCCAGAGTACCTCACACAAATGCATAAGAAAAAATTATCAAAGGCAGGGCATGATGTCTCATATCTGTAATTCTAGCATTAAGAGGCTTAGGCAGGAAGACTGTCTCTAAGGACAGCCTGATGTATTAACAGGCTAGCCAAGGTTACATAACACTGGTCTCAAAAAAACTGAAAAAGGCCAGCCAGGTATGGTGTTTTACATCTTTAATCTAGGTGCTAGGGAGGCATGGGGTGACCCTATGAGCTCTATATAGCTAATCCTTTTTGTATCACTCTAGTGTTGGTATATTTGTTATCAAAGCAAACACTTAACATTTATTCCACACCAGAGAGATAATGTTTTATTTATAGATTGTATATATGTACATATGTAGGGGTATATCTGTATATATATATCTATATATATATGACATATACTTTATTTGAGGTAGAAGATGTGTGTGGATTTATAATTAATACCAGCACCCAGGAGGGAGGCAGAGGCAGGCAAATCTCTATAAAGTTTGAGGTCAGCTTGCTCAATACATTGAGTTCTATCTAGGGTAGCCAAGGCTAGTGAGACCCTGTCTCAAA